CCGGATATAGGGGGCCTAAATAATTACCGATATTTTTGGTAATTATAATTGTGGGGGTTCCTTCATATGACTATAGTACAATATACGCTCAAACCCTATTCCAATTAAGGCCCCCATATTAGCACAAATTACTGAAACTTGTCCGCTTCCATACCACAGACCATGCCGCCTAGGATGCATTTACACATATCAGTTGCTGAAGCGTGCACTATAGAGGTCGGATGGAAGTGGTCCATGGAACTATGCACCACCGAGGCCAGCAGAAGAGACGCGGCGCAAGCGGGTGTCGAAATCCTGACGCGGAGAGCTCTCTGCAGAAATATAGCAGGGGCCAAAATAGGTAGAGCAAGGTGGGGTATGTCATACGGGGGGCAGGGGTACCTTATCTTGGAGTCCTTATAATAAGGATCCTACTATTTAGGGTACTATATTAGAGCCCCCTATTTTCGGAAACCCCCATATTATGCTCATAAGATGTGAGGAAGCCAGGCCGGCCCTGACGCGTCCCATGTGCCTCGGCGCCACACTCAGCAGCAGCCTTCGGAAGGTAGGGAAATGACTTTCTGCTTCTTTTTTGGGTCTCTTCCCTAAAAAGAAACAGGGTTTCTTTTTTGGGTTTAGGGCTTAGGGTTTATAAAACGAACGGCGCCAGGGCGCCGCGGCTAGCCCGAACAACTCCTGAGACAACTCGGCGTAAGCAAAACGCCATGCCTTTGTACACGACTGCGACTGGAACAGTCTGCAGCTACTGTTAGAGTACCTGAAAGAAACCATCACATTAAAAACAACCAAGCAACACATCCATAGCTTCCAGGCTTATGTAAAAGACAAGCTGGCTTCCGGGTGTCGACGCTCAAACTCGCACAAGGCAGGCAAGGCTCCACATAGTCCACCATATCTCAACTACTTTGCAGCAGTTGCAGGCCAGGAGATTGCATACATACAAGATGCCACATACAAGGGGTGCAGGTTGTCACGTTGTAGGCTAGGGGTTCAGGGTTTCGGATCATCCGGTCTAGCACGGCCTCGCAGCAAGAAAGATGCCAAACCCTACATTCATGAACACCCTGCCCGGCCCGTCCAGCTGCTGAACCCCGACACCTTCAACCCTGTTGCAGCAGGCGTCTGACCATCAACCCTACACCCTGAATCCTGAACCTCCATCACGCCTCGAGCCTGTGAGTCCAAAACACCCGCAAGGCCTCGAGTAAGCCTTCTGTATGACATGCAGGCCCCAGACGAAGCCCGTAACAGCCGTATACCAAACACCTATAAGAGCCGAGAACGCCTATAACTACACATCCTTTGAAACTCTGCTTCAACCCAGTGGAAACCAGACTTCAAACTACTTCAAGAAATGCTTGAAGCTACACGAGCGGGCCTCACAGAGCCTGCTCCACACCATCGTGGGCAGCACGGCGAAGTCCTTTGGCGGCTCGGGTTTGGGACACGGCCATAGGTCGTGACGCAAAGGACCGGGGGCGGCATTATGACCTTTTTTGCGGCATGCATCGTGCTTGGTCTTAGGTTTCAAGCCTTGTAGCCTCAAAGCGTCGGGCTGCTTTAGGCTCCGTTGCTGTTGGCTGGAATCGAAAGAGCTCCGGGTTTCCGTTTCTCGAGGGGGGACAAGGGTCAGGCTGTTGGATGTGTGGGAAGTGAGAAATTTGCTGAGTCAGGATGTGGATACTGTGGAGATTTGCTCTGCCTTCAGGCCCTCTTCACACACTTTTGGGTCACGTGCGCTATGGTCCCAACCCCGAGCCGTAAAACTGCAAGTTCTTTGCTGGAGCTGTCTCAAACCCAGACCCAATTCCAAAGCCTGACGGGGAAATCTTGGGGTGTCTGGTGCTGTCCTGATGCTCCAGAGCCTTTTGCACGTAGCTCCTTGTCAGAGGTCAGCGGTCGCGTCTGGACTTTTTGGGGCGTCTTCTGAAATCGGGATGACTTCCTTCGTGATCCTACTATTTAGGATCTCGTTTTTGATATTTCCACTCAGGGCGTCAAGGCTCGAGGAAGCAAGTCTTCAGGGATTCCCCGGGCGGCATAAAGGCTTGATGTCCTTCTGTATTTGCGGGACGCTGCAGCCTCAACCCTAAATCCTACAAGAAACTACATCCGAAACCCTCAACCCTGAAGTGGCATCCCAAGTTCGCAGGGCTGGCATACAGGGTTTTTGAGGGACGAGACCTCCACACTACCGGGGGCTTCAGGAATCTACACCGGTCCACACCCCTTTGCAGCACGGGCTTTGGTTGTATGCTGGCAAGCTGGGCTCTCAAGATCTTCATGAGATATCAGCAAGCTTGAAAAACTAAACAAGAGGTCTGAAATTCGAAACCCCTGAACCTTAAGAGCTCGAAAAACTCGAGCCGTTGGCGGTGGCGAGGAGCGAAAGACCAAGCGCCGGGTGTGGCTCCGCGTGCAGAAGCGACCCGTCCTCCAGTCTTCAGAGTTCGAAAGCTGCGGAATGCTCTCCAAGCGGGCTCTGGGCTGAATGCATCGGCTGGCCCTCCTACCTTGACGAGAAACCGGCAAAACTAGACCCATAGGTGGGGATCCTTCCGATTCGGGGTGGGCTTCGGGACTTGACTAAAGCCAAAGTGGAGCATCTTGCTCTCAGTGCGGGTTTCGCAGCGGTTGCCCAGGTTTCTCTTCATGTTCGGTCACCTTCGGACACTCACATGAGAAACGGTCCCAAAAAGACAGATCCATAAGCCATAAGCAACAGCGTAGGGGGCTGAACTGAAAAACGTAACAGAAGTACTCCTCGACATTGCAAGCACACAACCCGGTCTAGCCATTTAAGGACTGTACTTTAACAGAACCACAACCCTACTGCAAACAGTTCTTGAGGCTCCGAATCAGTCCTCGTCAAAAGCCACTTTGATGGAGCGGAACGCCTCCAGCTCGGCACTCGAGACCTGAAGCACTCTTGCCTTTGGTGCATGTTTACATGCGGGTGTGTGTTGTGTCCACGTATGTGTGGCCATGTGTGCATGCATATGTATGTACGAATGTATGTCTGTCCGCATGTCATCTTTATCTAGATGCATCTATATCTATGTCTCTCTCTCTCTCTCTCTCTCTATATATATATATATATGATTATATGTATATATATATATATATATATCTGTGTGTTATATATACACATACATACATACATACATATATATATATATATCTCTCTCTCTCTCTCTCTCTCTCTGTATTTGGTTTATGTATGTTCAACTCCAGATCCGGCCTCGTCGAGCCCAGGAGGCTCGCCGACCAGCGCCAGGCCCCGTGCGTGATCGATCTCCTCGGTGCTTCGGCAGTGAGGTGCGGTGGGATATAGGAAAGGTTTAGGGTTTTGAGTTTAAGTTTTATAGTATTTTCTACTATAGAAACCCTACACTCTAGTATATAGGTACTTAGGACTCTTTGGGACATGGGGGTTTATACAAGTCAGGGGTTATAAGATCTTTTGTTACCTCCTACTCGGGGTGTTAGGATCTAGGAACCAGGGTTTAGAGTCTGCGATTTCTGGTGATTTCCGAAAATAAGGGACCCTAATATGGTACCCTTGATTGTAGGATCGTTATTATAAGGACCTCAAATAAGGTACCCCTAATTTTCGGAAGCTCCCTTCTGACACTCGCAATCGTCACGAATCAGGTAGCCCAAAGCCCAGAGCCCCAAACTGTTAAGTCGTGAGGACAGTCGGAGGGAGCTTGTTTTGCACCTAATATAGGGGCCTTAATGATTAGAATAGGATTTTGGGGGCCCAATCTTCTATAATTATTCTCAGGAACCACCGAAACAGTATAGGTACTTATTTAAGCCTCTGTATTATAGTATCCTTGTAGATCCCTATAAAGGAACCCTATTCTAATCATCCCTTATTTAAGCCCTATAGTATATTCCGATATTGGGTAGCTTCCCGGATCCCTTGTAGACCCCTTCAAGGATACCTTTAAAGGGAACCCTTGGCAATTATTCAGGCCCCTTTTATTGCGACATTAATTAGGGTATTGGTAAGAAATTAAGCCCCTATAGTATACCCTAAACCCTAAAGATCCCTTATAGATCCCTGAAAGGAACCCTTAAGGATCCCTTTAAAGGCCCCTAGCTTGCCCCGAACCTCGGGCCGAGAATCGAGTCTTGGCAATCCCAGCTGGGACTCTGCTTCCTGCTTTGGAGGACATGGGGCTTTATGAGTGTTTTGTGGGGTCCTACAAGGGTACTATAAGGGTTACTATAGGGGTTACCAATACTATAATGAGGGTACTTATAAGGGTTACTCTGAGTGCTTTTTGGGTCCTTGTCTGCTTTTATCTGCACTTTTCTAATCATTGGGATGTTCTTTGCCTTTTGCCGTAAATATGTCAGGGAACAGTGAGGCACAACGCTTGCTACTTGTTCCAGTCCCTACAAAGGTCAGGTTCCAGGGTGTCGGGCTATTGGGGGAGGTCCCAGAGCTCAGGGAATCTTTGCAGCGGCCGTAGTAACTCCTACACACTTATTCTTATGGTACCTTGGAGTAACATCCTGCAGCAACCGGTAAAGTACAGACAGAGAAATGAGGGAGAACGGTGAAGCGGGGCGCAAAGGGCTGTTGTTGACTTCCAGCGGGGTTCATAACTCGGAGGTTGGAGCTCAAAACCACAACCAAATCCGCGGCGGATCTCTGATTCCACGGTACGGCTTCTCGGGCTTGGGGCTGAAACTACATGCAGAGTTCGAGTTTAAGGGCAAGCTGTGTTTGATTCTAGTGCTTCTGTAATTCTTCGTGCCCCTAAACTACACCCTGGCCTTATGGCTCGACACGAGCCCCAAAGCCTTGCGCAAGATGGACTTTGGGCCCGGGAGCCATGAAGCAAACAGTCTTGCCCTGGAATCGTGCAAGCCAGCTCTATGCTTACCTGTGGTTAGCAGGGAATGGAAGAATGGTAGTACTAGTAGTTATCATTGTACCCCATTCCTCCATTCCCTGTTGACCAAAGGTAAGTATGTCGTTTTCAGTCGCAAGCTTCCGAAGGCACCTCAGCTCTGCTTCTCTTCGCCGGCGTCACCTCGTACTCGGGTCGAACACCAAGCTGCCTGGCCATCTCCCGGCCCTTGATCTCGGCGTCCTCCTTGACAAGGAAGTAACCAATGTGAACAGTCTTCTTTTCGATCGCATCATACGACCGAACTGCCCACTTCTGCTTGCTTCTGTCAAAGAAAACGCCCCTCACACTTGAGCTCGGGGGTTTCGGCTTCGGGTGTTTCAACTCGCCACGGCGCACGAGCTCCTCGCGGTAGGCCTTTGCTTCCTGCAGCGCGGCCTCGACAGCCGCCTCCTCGCCGAGGCCCTGGTCCAGGAACTTGGAAATTTTAAATAAGCGAGATTGCCGCTTCTGTCGAAAATCTCGTCGGCATTCCCAGCCCATTCTCCCCGAGTGCCACGAGATGTTCTGTATGCCACTCTGGCGCTCCTGCACTACCCTGGGAACAGCTTTCGCTGGGATCTTGATTGTGCCTTTCGCACGCGGGTTCGACTGCGCTCTTACTCCCCGCAGCAGCAACTCGTCGATCATCTGCTTGATTTTCAGCCAAGCCTTCCCTGCAGCAGCACCTTGAATCTCGCCAGCCTTGTTCTCGAACTTGATGATCTTCTGCTGAACCCAGTCCAGGACATGCTCTATGGCTTGACAATCGAATTGGTTCATCTGCCATACATGGAGAGCCTGCAGAAGCAATGCCCGAATTCGCTTTTGCAGATCAACTGCCACATCCTGCAATTCCGCGGCAGCTCTGACTTCGCCGATGTCTGTAGCATCCGCGTGCTGCAGCCTGGCATGTCTGCGAGGATCTGCAAGACAAGCTGCAGCCATGTTGAGGATATCTGTCAGCTCTTCCTGGCCCAAGCTCCTGCGTGAGCGCCTGGATGCCTCCTCGGCTTGCTGCAAGCGCTCGAGCTTCTGCGCAGTGTCCAGAAAGCCCCACTCGTTCATCTTTCGGAACAACATGAGGTGTTGATCAGACTGAGCAGATGTACCGGGAGACCCAGCATCTTCCGTGTCACGGACTTGCAAGGATTCCTCCTGCTCGTCTGCATCAACGACATCAACATCCCTAGCGACGACTGCTGCGTCTGCAGCTTCGTTGCAGCGGCGTCGCAACTCCCGATAGCTTCTTCGAAGGCTCTTCTCTGCCCCATTCCAAGCCTCATCGGCCGGCCTGGGGAGAGACTGGAGCCGGCGTTTCATTTCACATAAGACATCACTCAACCGAGGGGGCAACAGCCCACCATCCATCTTGTTCATGAACTTCTCCAAGAGCTGGAACTCTTCTACTGTCGGAATCCGACCCTCGGGGCCGTAGGCGATCCAGGATGCCACAGGGGTTGCAAGCTTTCGAAGGGATGACTGGTCCACGAAGTTCGCTTGATGTGTGTACCAGTTGATCCTGGGCTGATTTCATCAAAAACAACAACAGCGGCAGCAACAACGATGACGACGACACCAGGACCAACACAAACCAACACACACACACACACACACACACACACACCCATCCATCCATGCATACACAAATACGTACATAGACGCATATATGGTGCAGCGCTGCTTGGCCCCCCCTCCCCCCCCCCCACCCCATGGTATCCCCCGTCCCCCTTGTGGTTCCCTGTGGTGTGGGTTGCCCCCTGCCCCTCCCCCCTGTGGTTGCGGTCGGCTGCGCCCCCTTCCATGGCTGTTGCTGGTTGGGCGTCCGGTTGCTGAAGGTTTGGAGTTTAGGATGTGATACAGTTCACTGAACTTCGACCTGCCCTAAGCTCCAAAGCCAATGATACTGTTGAATGCTATGGTGATGATGATGATGATGATGACGAAGATGGTGGTTGTGATCCCCATCCGCACTCTCCTCCAGTCCCCTGCTCAAGAGTCCCGAATGAAAATCAAACAAACGTGACTTTGAACGAAACCAACCGAAACTCGGCTCGGCATGACAACGGTCGTTACAGTTTTCGCAAGAACATCACAAGCCAAGCACGAATTTCAACTAAATAAAGCAATGAACATGCAGTGCCGAAGCCCAGAGCAACATAAGAGCGGAGGTACGACCAACAGCCACAGGCACTGGGGTTCCCTGTGTTGTTTCCTATCCTTCCCCACCCGGCCCCTGTGGTTCCCTGTCTTGTGGTTCCATGTATTGTGGGTTATCCTTCCCCCCCTCGTTAGCTAAGGCGAGAGGCCTGGCTTGAGGGGGGGCATACCGTGAAGGACGTCGACGGTTACGTGTGACTGTTGCTAGGACCAGAGGCCTGGCTTGAGGGGGGGGGGGGGGGGGGGGGGCATACCATGGGGGGTGCGAGGGGGGGGGGGGTGGGGGGCCTGCGACGCGGCGACGCGGCACCATATATACACAGAGCTGCACTGTAGACACATGTACATATATACATGTGTATATATATATATATATATACATATTAATATATGCGCATACATGCGAGCCATTGTTGACTGCATAACCAAGCCAAGCAGCACCGCTGTCTTGTTATTCGTAGGACGGTGATAGCGGCGAGCATGCTCGCCGCCTCTGTCTTCTGAAGTCATGGGGGCTTTGGTCCCAATATGTTCCATGTCCCATGTGCATTCCTGCTTTCAGGTGATGCGGACTGGCCCCAACCCACTTCAAGCACTCACAACATCAACTGTACGTACTCATCGTGTGAAGAATCTCTTGCCCGCCTGGCATGCAAGACTCAAGCTAACTAAACCTGAAGCTTGCGAGCCACGGGCATCTCAGGCAAGGCCGAGAACCATTTCTCAAGCGATTCAGCCCTTACCTCGGTTTTGTATACATTACCTCGCTTTATCGCTTTTCGGGCATAGGCTCCGATTGGCCTATTAGGCTGCCGCCCATTGGCATGCATTAAATTAAATGGTTGTATACATTACTTGTACATATGTATGTATATTTACACATGATGTACATATACATATACATATGCATATACATATACATATACACATACATAGACATAGACATAGACATAGACACATACATATACATACCTTGTAAACTATACTACCATACTACTACTATCATTGGTGTAGGAACGACAACGTGAACAATGTTGCTAAGTACTCAGACCCCTATATCAAACTTCAAGCCGTATACCCGACATATCTCTACATACTCAGCAGTGGAATCATCACAGTAACAGTACCTGCTAATGGGCCCTGTGCTGTAACGTACCCCCAAACCTTATTCCACTTACTTATAATGGACGCTCGCTTGTTGCTATTCTAGTTTGACTTCAAGTGTCCTGCAGCTGCAGCAGGTCTTCAGTCATCAGCTGCTCCCGTGCCTCCTCCTTCAGGCAAAGAAGGTTCTCGGGCTTGGGACAGGTTTTGAGAAGCAAGATGCACAGAGACAGCACCGATCTCAAGCCCTAATAACCTAATATAGGGCCTTTATTACTAGAAAAGAGTTTTGGGGCCCATTATATTATAATTAAAAAGGAACGCCCAATTCAGTGTTGGTTTATAATTATAATTATTAAAGCCCTCAGGGCTTGTTGGCTTCGGGTGGGAACTTGTAAGCCTTTATGCAATCCCTCGGCTTGCCGACAGAATCCAGAATGCCAGCGACGCAGAGGTGCTCCCGTTCCAAAACCTGAAAGACAAAAACCTAAAAATCCTCAAGCCCGAAACCCGCATATCTATCTTTCTATCTATCGGTCTTTCGAACTATCGATCTATTGATTTATCGATCGATCTTTCTACCAATCTATCATCTATCGAACCACCTACCTATCTAGCTTCGTATATGTCTACCTATCCACCCATTATTGCTCTTGTTATCATCGTTGCTATTGTGATTCTCTGTACCCAAAGACTCCAACATCCCTCCATTTAGTAATATGCCTGAAATTTTAAGTCATGTTGGGGATCCTGCTATAATTTAAAGTATCTTCTCAGGGATATTGGAGTCTCTGGGTACAGGGGACCAGAGGAAATAGGCGCCTTGAGAAAGGCGCTGGCCCTGGTCTGGTTCTGCCTCTGCTGCATCTCCTCAACGAGACTTATTTATAATTGATATCAATATTATTATTGTTATTATTATTCGTTATTGTTATTATTGTTATTGTTATCGGGTTGAGGGATTTTTCCCTCAGGGTTTCGGCGCTCACACTCGGACAATCCAGGCGAGGCACATGGTTCAGGGTTTCGGCGCTCACACTCGGACAATCCAGGCGAGGCATATGGTTCGAGGTCTGCCGAAGTGAAACAATTTAGGGTTTAGGGTGTTTTCTCTCTCTCTCTCTCTCTCTCTCTTTCTCTCTCTCGGGTTTAGGGTTTAGAGTTCGGAGTGAGGCTTCTGTGAACGCCGAGTTGACGGGTCAAGGGTTTTGTTGATACTCAAGGTCTAGGGTATGGAAAGAACTCAACGGCTCGGGTACTAAAAGAAGTGACGGAATCTCAAGAGGCATGCTTGCTGCTGACGTTCAAAGGAATAAAACCAGGACGTGCAACTTCGCAGCTACTGCATTAATCACATGAAACAGAGTGCTGCTCTGTATACTCTCTCTGTCTTCTGAGGGTGGGTTGCAACGGCTCCCTTTTGAAGCTACCTCCTCAGAAAAACCTGCTGTTACCTTGGTAGGCGGAAAATAACTTCAAAACCGACGGTAAATAGAGGCCCCGAGCCCTAAACCCGAACCACCCCTCCAACACCTGGACCCACCCATTCAATCCGCGGTTCTCAACGACCTACGCCCTTTCATGCTGAGCCCTGGCCCTAGCGTCCCGCAAACAAATTGATGATTTTTGCCTTGTGCTGTGATCAGCTCCTGACAAAATTTAAGCCCCCAACACACCCCCATCTAAACTGCGAAGGTAGGCACCGATACAAAAGTGTTAAACCCCACCCGAACCCTTAACCCTTGGGCCCCACCCTAACCGTAAAACCCCCACTTCTGCTTGACCCTGTCAGCTCTAAAGCCCCACCCTAACCCCAAACTCCGCCCCCCCCGACTTCCTAAACTCAGAAGCCCGAAGACCCTCTTTTGGAGTTTCCGAACATAGGGGACCCTCATATAGTACTCTAAATAGTAGGATCCTCATGATAAGGGCACCAAAATAAGGTATATTAATTTTCGGAAACTCCCTGTATCCCTCACTGCATCCGAGCTGCTAAAGACCGGAGCTCGGCTTCGAGCCGTCGCTTCTTCATGGCATTCTGCTCCTTTAGACGCGGCTTTGCATGGGCTTAGGAGGTTTAGGGGTTGAGGGGGGTTTGAGGGATTCAGGGTGTCTAGGGGGTTTGAGGGTTTAGGGGGTTTAAGGGATTCAGGGTGTCCAGGCGGTTGAGGAGTTGGGATTTAGGGTTTCTGCTCCTTCGGACCGTGCTTTGTGGTGGCTTTCGGGCGCATCGGTTGAGGTCTAAGGGCTGAGGTTGTTTTTAAGTTACCATAACAATGAGGAAACCATATTACTTACTATAAACCCCCATTTATGGTAACTTAAAATACATCCCCTTCGCAAGAACCCGGTTTGGGGCACCCTGTTCTGCTCCGTTTAGTATTAGCGAGGCTCCAGGTGCAGGGTTTCGAGTTTGAAGGTTGGGATTTGAAATAAGGGCCTAAACAATTGCCAATACTACTTTGGGGCTCCGTATTACAGCCCCTATAGTAGTGTTTACGGTTTGGGTTTTTGGAGCGGTGGCTCTAGAAATCAAAAACTATCCTAAACCAGCTTGTGAGAGGTGAAGTGAAGCTGCCAGAAATATCTTGGAAGTCAGCGCCGCAGCAGGAGAATTTACCTAGCAAGCCCAGCACCCACAAAGCTCGGGCTTTGAGCACCTACTGAGGCAGCAAGCCTGAGAGGGGGGCTCGGACTATGCTATCACAAAGATTACAAACAGCCAAATCCTCAAAGCTGGTGCTTGTCCTTCTTGGTCCAGCCTTTTCTTGCGTCTTCTGTGCCTTGGCAAGGCGTCCGAGGAATGCCCTGCAGACGATGCCAGTTGCAGACGATGCTTCTAACTTGGTTCCAAGGCGCTGGGACTGTAGACCTGCCCGTCCAAATTGAATAGCGGAGACAAAGCTAGCAAGGTCTTTGCTTTCATACACTGTCTGGGGCTGGTGGTTGCGGTCCAGTGCTTTACTGCTGCGAAGAAAGGACTACGGAACTTGATTTTCGGGCAAAAATGTATTAATACCTACAGCGCCAGACAGCCCCAGACCATGTTTTTTAATTGGAGCCCCCATATCAAGCCTTGAGACCACAGAACCTCCAACTATCTCCAACCCGTTTGCCGTAAACACTAGTACAATCCCCACAGCAAGAAGAACCAACTTGAACACGAATGAGTATAAGAGCACCTTCGATTGACCTACACTCCGCTCAAGCCCACCAGAACCCCAAACCATGTTACAAAACCAACCGTTAAAGCCCACAATGCCTGCAAGAGCCATGCCCAAGCCCTTACAACGATTTCCTTCAAAACACGCAGGAACCCATGCGGGAACCGCGAGCGACATGAAGCGCAACCAACGAGTAACTAGCAGTTCAACGCTGAACACTTAGCCCTTGAACAACTAAAGTTTAGAAGCCCTGGATAAAAACTTAACACAATCCGTTTCGCATTAGACACCCCCCAGCCCTTAAGGCATAGCCGTCAAAATTCACCCCATTTCTTGAACCCAGGCTCTGTGCGATCACCCCTAAACCCCTAAATCCACAAAAGCCGAGGCACTTGTGAAGGCCTGCCCCGAGGCGGCCAGGAGTGCGTCGGCGGCCTCGCCCAGCTGCAGGTCCAGATCCTCTGAAGCTTCGAAAAAGGGAACCCAGAGAGCCCAATACCCCTTAATTAAGGTGTATACCTTAAATTATAAGGGGATCCATATTTTGGCTTAGGCTATATTCCTTAATTAAGGGGTTTTGGGCTCTCTGGGAATGTAAGGGCTATTGGGGCCTTAATAATTAGAATAGGGTTCCTTTAAAAAGGCTCTTACAAAGGGTCCTGTTAGGGTTACTAGAAAGGGTATTATGGGGCTGTAATATAGGGGCCTTAATAATTAAAATAAGGTTTGGGGGCCTATTGTGCTGTCACCATAATAAGGAACCCACACAATACCGCGGGTGATTATTTAGGCCCCTATATAACACAATGAGGGATTTAAGGGCTATTATTAAGGTTACTAGACTATATAAGGAATGGGAGGGCTGTAACTAAGATTACTACATTATATCAGGAATACGTGGCATCGTTGAGGGTTCTGACAGGGCAACTACTTCGAGGGCTGCATAGAGTGAAGCTTTGTCACAGGAATTTAAGAGGTTTCTACAAGGTTAACTACAAGGATACCACAAGGCCTACTATAAGCTTTGCTTCATACTATTGAAGGTACTGCCCCCAAAAGCAACAGCGAAAGGTCCATCGGTGCGAGGTCGCCACCGCGCAGGTCCCTGCCACGACGGAAAGGTTCATGGATGGGTGCAAGCGTTATAATTACAATATAAGAAGTCTAGAAATTAGTTGTGCCGCAATTAGGATGGGTAAGTAGAAGCATGGCTACCCTAATTGTAGCACTTGCTTGCACGCACTGTCTGTCTCTCTCTCTCTCTCTCTC